GTAGATGTGCACCTCGTAATTTTGGTTGCGAATCGGCCGCACCAAAAGTATATAATATATATATAGTGTATATATATATCCAATCTGTTACTCGGCTTATTGATCTCAGTTTCTTTATTCTTTTATGTTTGTAAATTGTGCATTTTTTTGCTTATAAATAATTGAATGATGTATGTTCTTATCTTTCGGTTAAGGTGTTTATGCCTTTAGTAAATCTGTATGCACTATTTGTAGAATTATCAACAATTTAAAAGTTGTTAAAGGGCGGCTAAGTCTAATTATTTTTGCCATGGCGGCCATTTTGTTTACATTTGAAGCTTGGCAGAAAAGTGGATTTGTTTCTAACCTAGAGAAACTATGCTTCGCAACCACAAAGAGAACGCTTTCATTTATTATTGCGAATTAAATCATGCTTAAGCCATTCTGGAATTTATTCGAGGAAATAAGTGTTTAAGATTTACTTCGTAATTTTTAATATAGATATTGAGTTTTTTTGTACTTTTGCTTTGTCACGAAGCGGAAACTGAAATAATTGAATGAGAAATACTGAATCGTCTGTGAAAACTGTTTCTTTCTTCTTTTTGTTTGTTTGTTTGTTTGTTTGTTTAATTTCTTTTATATATCGTTTTAGATTTATTATAATATTTGAATAAAACATGTAGCAATGATTAGATAACTCTTCCCATGATATTAATTTTGTGCATTCTGAGTTATAAAATGAATGAAATGTAACGCTGCCAAGTAAACCTAGCGCCAGAGTTTCGCTATGGTAAACGATTATAGGGAATTTTAAAGAGTGCAATTATTCTTTTCTGGTTTATGCGCTAAAGTAGATTTAATTCAATCCAATAAATTTAAATGAAATGCAAGAAGTAAATGAGTATAATTTAAAATTCCGTGCAAGGAAGTCATGTGCTGTACACATCAGATTTTTTTTAACTAATGGCAATTATAGTTTAGTATACAGCTCCAAGAATAAACACTCATCTTAAATTTGACCATGTGTCCGACACTTAGTTTGCCTATTTGACGGTGTTTCATATGACTACAATTCTATTTTTCACTTTTTTAAGGATTAAGTTATTTGTACTTGTTAATAATACGAGTAGTGTTAGAGTTAAATAACATTGTTAAGGTGAGCTATTGCATTTTATGTTCTTGGCTTATATTAATAATTTATTTTACACCTTAACCACAAAACTTGGTAAGTACGTTTAATCACGTGTTTCAGTTAAAAGAAAACTGGCTAAATCTCACGACATTCACCATTTTTTTAAACCTTGCAGTATCTAAAATATAAAAAACACAGAATACATATATTTTTTTAAATATATCTTGTCAATGACGGCGCTGTGACTCGGGTGTCTTCTTTGCTTTTTACAACTGTATTATTTGCTTACTATATGTATTATTACTCACTTTTTGCCACAATTGTTATATATTTGTACTCGTAGTACACTTATTTATATTTTATTGTAATATAAAGTTTCATTTACGAATATAATTATATAATATAAATTTAAAGGTTTTTGCTTTTCGATTATGTACCTTTCACTTAGGATGCAATGATTTTTAACGGCAAAATGCTTTTATGGTGGTACATTTGTTTTAGTTTCATATTCTTACGTTGTTTCTCTACTTTACGTACATACGGGGTTCGTGGATTTGGAGTGAATAACGACGACACTTGATGAAGTATCAAAACACATTTTATTGACCAGTATTATTCAAGACAGCTCCAAAAACACTTTTTACAGTCCTTGAAGATCTACCATAAACACGCTGGAACAATCAGCGACACAGCCTTCACACTGTCAGGCAATGACGGTGGAGACAGCTTCCTGCAAAGCACCCGACTCTGCTTGGTCATTCGCGGAACTCCACCTACTCTCGAGACTCTCCTCGCTACAACTCGCGATGCACTCGACGACACACGAGCACAGCTCCCGATTCCTTGGTTCGGTAGTTCTCGGAGCTCCCGGATTATAGACTTGCAGTGTAACCTAATCAAAATATTATTTATATTTTTCAAACTTAGTTAACATCTCCAGGTATGTCCGTGCACATTTTAACTGACTCAAGAGTCATTAGTAGTAGTAAATGGTGATATCTATCACTCTAATATCCTAAGGTCATAAATTTCGCTCATGTCATGATGAACGTGTCATCGTTCATCGTTTCATTAACCAGCATCAACCTGCATGAAAAACGCTTAGTCCATTGCAACAGTTCAATGGCAATTGAGTAAACAGAAACTTATTTTCAATTAGCAATAGAAACAAAATCTGAAACTAGTTGAAATGCAAGTGGACGAAATAAATGCTACTAGAAATATTGTACAACATTTATGATTATTAACAAGATTAAAATACCTTGCTCAATACATGTTGTAAGGATCTTAAGTTTCACTAACGTTTATTTTATTTTAAATCTTTACTATCACTTCTTATTTTCTACTTCCGGCCAGAATTATAAGCGTTAAAGTATTTATGCAAAGTTTGTCTGGCGAACGCCAAGTATTTAAGTTGTGGCTTTTTGCCAAGCGAGAGAGAGGAAGCAGTTAGTCGAAGCAGGCCGCTTACCTTAGAAGTTATAACGTTGCGCGCCTCCAACTTGCACGCAACCAAGAGGTGACTGTGAAAACTTGTATAAAGGATAGAGCCTTGTGAAGGGTTTAAGTCCCTTTTTATTTCAACGTAAAAAAATAAAAATTGCGTGCTCTTGACGCTCACAGACTGTGCCAACTTGGCGTCCAAATAAAAATATAACCTGAAAAGAAAGTAAAGACAAGATTCTAACTACGAGGCTCTCTAAAATAACTAAACTCACCGCGTTTTACAATACCGCTGCTAATTCAGCAGACTTGAAGCTCACTGGAACGATTACCACTACTTCCCGCCAAGCACATAGGCCGCAACGCGGGGTTCTTCAATTCTCGCTAACTACCTCCGCGCTCGTGCAGTAAGAATATCACACCGAACTCGTTTCCTTCTATTTAAATCAGTATACTTCCGCTGATAATTTGAATCCTTGCGCGTTCTACTAAAATTTACATATTCTGGCATTGGCAGTTCCAGGGGAAAGTAAGGCTTGACAGGAAAGATAGTTTAAACTTAAAATAAATGTTAGTTAAAATAAATATAAACCCTACAAAGTTTTACTCAGTGTCTGGTTGCCTTCCAGGCCAGAGGTTTAATCCTCTTGATAACTTTAAACGTATTGTAGTGTTCACAGTTCTCTGTACTACATACGGCTTCCTGTTAATATAAGGTCAATCTTCCACATTTATTATTTCAAAGTTAAGAGTTTAGTTTTATTTTTATATTTTTACGTTTAGACCACAAGTCGTGGGTCTTTGTATTCCGAAGGACGGAAGTTATTGTAAATAGAGAAAAATAAAGGGTTTTGTATACCCTTCTTGTGTATCCTGTCTACTTCCCACAGTTATTGAACATAGCTTTAGTAAGCTCTCTGTTCCGAGTCAGGTCCTTGCATGTTCCCGAAGAAAGCAAGACGGAACATTGAACCTGATAATGTATATATACACTATATTACCAAGTAATATTTACATTTTTGTGCGATATTTGCATTTTTATATTCAAAGCTTCTCGATCTCCATTTAAACTATCAGGTTCAGTGTTTCTCCTTACTTGCTTGGGGAGCATTCAATGACCTGACTCGGAACAGGGAGCTTACTAAAGCTATGTTCAATAAATGTGGGAAGTAGACAAGATACGCAGGAAGGGTATACGAAACCCTTTATTTTTCTCTCTTTACAATGATTTCCGGACTTCGGAATACAGAGACCAACCACTTGTGGTCTGAACGTAAGAATATAAAAATATTAACTAAATTCTAACTAAACTAACTTTGGATTAATAAACAAGTGGCTACTTGAAGATTGGCCGTATATTAACAGAAGGCCGTATGTAGTACAGAGAACTGTTAACACTACGATACGTTTAAAAACAAAAAAAAAAAAAAAAAAAAAAAAAAAAAAAAAAAAAAAAAAAAAAAAAAAAAAAAAAAAAAAGAAAAAAAAAAAACAAAAAAAAAAAAAAAAAAAAAAAAAAAAAAAAAAAAAAAAAAAAAAAATTCTCAAGAGGATTAAACCTCTGGCCTTGAAGGCAACCAGCAACCGAGTAAAACTGCTAAGGCAAGCGGCCTGCTTCTATTAACCCCTTCCTCTCTCTTGCTTGGCAAAAAGCCACAACTTAAGTACTTGGCGTTCGCAAGACAAATTTGCATAAATAAGTTAAAGCTTTTAATTCTGGCCGGAAGTAGAAACTAAGAAGTGATAGTAAAGATTTAAAATAAAATAAACGTTAGTAAAACTTAAGATCCTTACAAAACATTAGTACTGAGTTACTAGCGATTTTGTCATTATTCTTAAAATGGCCTTAATTTATCTTTACTTAACGTATCATTTCTCTCTGTATAGTCAATGCTTTTCTCTAGAAAATGAACTCTGTGCAGCCAGACTAGTTTTCAAGATGCAAACTGTAAATACGTCTTCTCCTTACCAACTAGAGTAGACTAAAATCTCATACTAGGAGTACTTCCATGGAATAAACTGGCTGGTAGCATGAAGGTATCAAGATTTTCCTCGCTGATGCTATGCAAAGACTTTTATAGTTTGTAAGTCGACTAAAATCTCATACTAGGAGTACTTCCATGGAATAAACTGGCTGGTAGCATGAAGGTCTCAAGATTTTCCTCGTTGATGCTATGCAAAGACTTTTACAGTTTGGTTCTTAGCAATTCCTTTCTTGTTGATGCAATATCTCTTGAAAAATACGATTTGAATTGCTATTTTTAATTCCATATGCTCTCCAATAAGATTATTTCCTCCGTCTCTTTAGTACTTTAATTATAATTCTAACATGTTGACTCGGTTTTTCTTTCTTTTATAGACAATCTAAATTTAGAAGTTGGTACCATTACTGAGGTTGTAGCCCTTGGTATAATTATAACTGAAATATATTTGCTGAAAGAGACAGCGCAAGTTGTGGAGTTTACCTTGTCATCGATTTCAAAGGCTGTAGTTTTCAACAAGTGCTCCATATTTTATCCATAAAATTTCTCACAACACTTTTCAGATATTTACAGGTAAAAATCAGAATTTATTTATTAAAAAGTGTAATTATATTGGTTTTGGTAACAATACATGGCACTCGACGCTAAAACTAAAAGTGGGAAAAATTGCAAATTATTACATTATTTCTGTGTGTTATTACATTTATCAAGTTATAAGTATTTTAGAATTTTACAATATTTTTTAATTCGTCACTCACTTTGAATTCTTAGATGCAACTAAAAACGAAAGAGTCTCTCATATCACAAAACGAAAGAATTTCGAATTTCCTGGTACAATCAAATTTCAGTCAGCAATGAAGTACTGATTTCTCAAATAAATAAATAATAAAAAGTTATTTGCATTCGAAGATAAATTATTGATACTTTAGTCTTTTAACTACTTTAAACACATTTCCTGTTACTAGTGATTTACTAAATCGCACTGCTGCAGAAAAGATAAAGTTCATTAAGGATTAAATTTTCATTCTGTTAAGAGACTAATAAACGAGAATTTTAGTACGATTTATGACTCATATTTGTGGGTGAAAGCTAAAGACAATGTTTGGCACTGTTTACTGGACAAAAGAATATAATATCCTGGATTCTCCTTCTGCTACAGCTGTGGCATAGGCTGTTCCACTCGAAAGTGGACCTGGGAAATGTGTGATAAAAACTTTATGACGCGTATTTTAAAAACGAAATGAAAAAATATTACATGACATGCCTTTATGTTTGGAAAATGAAAGTTCATTAAAGCCGGCCTGGAAGTGACCTTCTCTAATATGTGATTCTGGACAAGAGGGAGAATTATAGGGAATGCTGCGAACACTATTCGTCATAGAATGTATAGTCTGAACGCAAATGGCGTGAAAACTAGGTGACTTTGTAACTAAATGGTATAAAAAGTCTGTTCTTGCACCCAGCAGCATTTGTAACCTTGGAATGCCGAGAGGATTGCTGGTTATACAATCCGCGAGATTTCCAGGGGGATGGATTGGCCGAAGTGGTCCCATAGCGTGGCCACCAACACCGGATCTCTCGTGTTAAGTGTTTCTCCTGTGGAGTCATATGAAAAGCCTAATTTATGACTGCCCGTTGAAGACAATATGGAAGTGGTTGCCAGGATCGCCGTTGTTGCCGACGATATTCGGGAATTGAGGTGTGAATCCTGCATTACAGATGGCGAAAGATCTTTTGAGGAAATTTTATGAGTACTTTCTGAAAGTAAAATGTTTTCTGAAGTATATCCTTTTACTCTTTTGTTAATTCTTTAAATGTTACAGCGGAAAATTACCCTTTAATTTCTCATCGCTTGCGTCCGACCGTGCATTCTATGAAGAATGTTGCTCGTATCTATCATCCCCTAAAGTTTTTCCCTCTTGTTCTGATTCACCCTGTACATATAGTTCAAAACAACGTTGCATTTTCGTGCATGCTGCTGCCAGAGCACACGTGGTGTAGTGCTGAAGCGTGGTTCTACTTGCCAGGATAAGTGAACTAACAAAACACATTTTTGCAGAGTATTAAGAACTAACAAGCAGTCTTCGAGGAACCCCTTCATTCATAAAAGATGGGCGCATTCTGTGCATTATCCCAGTGATGCATCTTCGGCCAATTTTTTTTGACATTACTGGCACCAATGAAGTGTACCAGGGACTATTTCGTGAATTTGTGAGCTGAGGAAGAGCTGACATTTGTCTAGTACAAGCAAGATGGGGAAATATGCCAAACATCTACAAAGTATTTCTCCCGCCTTCTTAGCATGGTTTCGTAGTGTAGTGGTCTGCACGCTGGGCGCGTATTCCAGAGGTCCGTGGTTCGATTTCCAGGGAGGCCGTTGCCCATTTTTCATTCTTCCTGCTTTAAAAAAAACTTAATGACTCCACAATGGCGCCCGAACTAAAAGGGTGGTGGATGATGATTCTCCACACCCAGGATTCGGTGACTAAAAAAAACCCAAGTCGGCCTTTAAAATGGGTAGTTTGTAAGGTATTTCTCCCACCTTCTTGGTATGGCTTCGTAGTGTAGTGGTATGCACGTTGGGCGCGTGTTTTAAAGATCCGTGTTTCGATTTCCCAAGAGCGTTACTCATTTCTCATCACTCCTTCTTTAAAAAATAACCTAATGACTCTACACGTCTAATGCGGATATAACTGCATAGAATCATTTTTCCAGACTTGACCCTCTTAACATTTTGGTATGGTGGTCGCCTTAAAGGTAATACGTACAAACGCGAACCATGCACATCGACGAGTTACATGAGAGCATTCGCTGTGATATCCAGGCAGTGACGCTCAATAGCAGCAGCATACACGAAATGTGCATGACCGTGTTGAACTGTGTGTACAGGTGGGGGAAACTGCCTCCAGCACCTCTTGCAATGCACTTTCATCTGAATATCCTCAAAACCAATATAATTTTATTTAAAATCTACACCAATCTAAGATTTTCTTTTTGCGAAATTTTAAACAGTATGCCAGCTAACATTCTATATTGTAATAAAGATGTTTGTTCCTTTGATGTACCCAAAGGTTTTTAGTTTATTCAAATATACTACGAGAGACGCAAGCAATTATGTACGATAACATTTTACTTAACTTTGCAATTGATTTTATAACTCTGGTGTGCTAAAATCTTCTGAATCTGTATTTAAAGACGAGGTGAAAATGTGAACTCAGTATTCCCACTGTATGTCTGTGAAGAATTTTTTTAAAATATCAATTAATTTTTTATATATTTCTAAAACTATGAAATATTTGAAGATTTCATTAGTTCTACTTTTAAAGAGTTTCGTTTCCTTGAAAACAAATGAGAGATACTTATATTTGTGTCGTGAAAAACCATTAGCTATTTATAAAAGAGTGCTTTTGTTGTGACTAATCCAGCTTCTTTGAAATCAAAGCAAGCCCACGAAATTCATCTTGGCAAGGAGACATGATGGCGCCCGTTGTTGGCCAGAGCCTTGGCCACCATAGAGGTGCGAGTACGACTTTGCTCAGTTCCGCCTGTTGTTGGCAAGAGAATTGGCCACCATAGAGGTGCGAGTACGACTGCTTAGTTCCGCCTGTTGTTGGCAAGAGCCTTGGCCACCACAGAGGTGCGAGTACGACTTTGCTCAGTTCCGCCTGTTGTTGGCCAGAGCCTTGGCCACCATACAGGTGCCAGTACGACTTTGCTTAGTTCCGCCTGTTGTTGGCAAGAGCATTGGCCACCACAGAGGTGCGAGTACGACTTTGCTCAGTTCCGCCTGTTGTTGGCAAGAGCCTTGGCCACCATAGAGGTGCGAGTACGACTTTGCTCAGTTCCGCCTGTTGTTGGCAAGAGAATTGGCCACCATAGAGGTGCGAGTACGACTTTGCTTAGTTCCGCCTGTTGTTGGCAAGAGCCTTGGCCACCATACAGGTGCGAGTACGACTTTGCTTAGTTCCGCCTGTTGTTGGCAAGAGCATTGGCCACCACAGAGGTGCGAGTACGACTTTGCTCAGTTCCGCCTGTTGTTGGCAAGAGCCTTGGCCACCATAGAGGTGCGAGTACGACTTTGCTCAGCTCCGCCTCCAATTTTGGAGGAGAACACCCCTGAAGAAAGAAAGAGGATCTCCCAAACTTCTTCCCCTACCACCAATCTCTCGACAGGATTTTTGACTCACCGCATATTTTGAGTACCACATGCCGCACAAACAGTATTCATTTAGATAGACATCCTTGCCATCTCCTGGATTCGAGATAGGGTTCTTCAGCGCAATAGTCAGAGACACTTACCACTATCTTGTTTGGGTGGCATAAAAGAATTGAACCTGTACTAAGACTGGAATTAAAATATTATGACTATTAGAAGGCTCAAAACTGAAATATTATTTAAATACAATTTCGAATTTGCATATTAAACAAATCTCGTAATTTTATTAACAAACAATTTTATTTATAAAAGAACCCTTAATCTTTAATTTTATTTAACTTCTACGTTAGGCACCTTGTTGTAAAAAATGATAGATAATTTATTTCAGTTTTGGTACACAATTTGTTAAAAAGTACTTATTTTTTATTTCCATTGAAAATAGTATGTATGTATTTTTTCACTCAGAACACATGTAGATGGAACAGTTAGTGGGCACGTATTGCCCTGCGCTCATTATCGTATTTATTAAGTGTATTTTGAACTTTATACATACTTTTCAATACATACTCATACATACTTTTCAATACATACTCATACATACTTTTCAATATATACTCATACATACTTTTCAATACTACATACTTTTCAATGAGAAATTAAATGGTTATTAACATTAACAATTTACTTAAGTTTTAATGGGATACATTAATACATAAGGTATTTTCCCCTCCTTCTTAGCATGCCTTCGTAGTGCAGTGGTCAACACGCTGGGTGCGTATTCCAGAGATCCATGGTTCGATTCCCGGCGAAGGTGTTGCTTAGTTTTCATTACTCCACCTTCAAAAATATACCTAATGTTCCTACAAGTATCGCCCGAGCTAAAAAGGTGGTGGATGATGATTCTCCACACGCAAGATTTGAAGATTTGGCGATTGGGTCCCCTTAAACCCCAGTCGCCCTTTAAAAGATCGAGTACATAAGCTATTTCTTCCGTCTTCTTAGCATGCCTTCGTAGTGCAGTAGTCAGCACGCTAGGTGCGTAATCTAGAGGTCCGTGTTTGATTCCCGGCGAAGGCGTTGCTCATTTTTTATGACTCCTGCTTCCAAAAAATACCTAAAGTTTCTACGACATACACTATATTAAGGACCCAAAATGACAGATAACTACTATTTCATTAAAATATCACACGGCGCTCTAATTGGTGTTAACAGTTTCAAAAGTGAATCGACGCAAAATTCCATTTTAAAATTAATAGCCCTTCTGAACTTACGCCCTTTGGGGTAAAAAGCACCATTTGTTCGGATTAATTCACTTACCAGTGCAGGTATTCTTTTCTTTCAGATTTTATACAGATTAAAAGCAATTTTACAATATAAATTTAAACTTCATTTCAGTATAGCATGACTTTTGCTACATATTATTGCACCCAATTGATTTCATTGTTTCCTTGCAACAGGAATGTTGGCCATGTCGACTCAAAGGCCTTCATATAATATACGAGCCTTTAGCCGTTCATTATGCATACCGCATTATAAAATTTTTCCTTTCAAAGAAGATGAAGGAAAGGGTATGTAATTTTCATTAATTTATATCTGTTTCTAGCATTCTGAATTTTGTTCTGCCGTTTTTGTTACGAGTAATACTTTTAATTGCAGGCAGAACTAACTTGTATACATTTCCCATTGAAATAATCACATTTTCATAAAATTTTCTTTATGTCCATTTTTATTTACTTATCGAAAACCTATTTCAGGAGTAAAACAGGCAATATATATTTACGGTATTTCCTCGCATTTTAGAACCAAATTCTGAAGATTTAAAAATGTTCGCGTAGTTTTCTCTTTCATGAATGCTTTCAGGGAACAAGCTCCCCTAAATTTTAAAATGCATTTGTTTACATAGTCATTGTTTCCGTCTTTCTAACAAATACAAGCGTTCGCAAAGTGCCTGCGAACGTCACGTCGAACCTTTCCTCTCTAAATGATGAACTTCATGCCAGACTAATTCAATAAACGAGGCTGTGATAGCCAAAAAAAAACAAGAACTGATATTACCTCTGCGCTGAATACGCTACACATTCATTTTAATTGATGGTTTATGAAGGATTTGAGGACTAAAGAGTAGCAGAGATAATAATAAGAACGGAAGAGATTCAAGTTACAGAAAAATAGAAATGACTATATCTTAATATACAATGTCTGTCCCAAAAGTAATGCGCCCCGTTTTCTTCTGGTGCGACTATCCGTCGCACAGCATTGCCGCTTGCACGGACGGGTGGGTGGAGTCTTCGGAACACAGCGTGACCAGCGCCAGTCGGCTCCTAGCTCCTGAACAGTCACAGAGCCTGTTTCAGTGAACCCTTGTGTGAGTGCTCGGTCGAAATCAAGATGGAAAAAAACTCTCGAGCAACCACATGCAAACTTTTGTTTCAAACTTGAGAAAACGCCGTCGGAAACTTTCGCGTTACTTCAGTCCTTATTTGTCCCCCACCCCCGACTTTTTTTGTTCCGAAGATTAAAAAAAATCCCTCAAATGAATCCTCTCCTCATTTAGGAACAATGGAGAACATCAAGGCAGCTACGACTAGGTTACTAAGGAACATCCTTGTGACGGACTTCCAGGACGCATATAAAGCACTTGGAGTGATTACCTATGACACTTAATGGAGTATCAAAGCACAATTTATTCAGCTAATATTAGTCAGGACAGTTACAGAAAAACATTTACAGTCGTCAAAGAACTACGACAAACACGCCGAAACAATCAGCAACACAGCCTTCATGTTCTGATGCTTCAGGACTAGCAGAGACAACAATAAGAACGGGGGAGATTCAGTTTCAAGAAAGTAGAAATAAAAGCATGACAAAAATGCATGATTTATGTATTTGTAGGCTTAATTGAGAAGACACCTTCACGACAAAACACTAGAATACAGTTTCTGATCTCGAGCTCAAGTAGGAACTCCTCTCGGAGCTCAACAATTCGATGAGGCACTACGATATACTCGACACTAGACTGCTACTCTGCGAATAGGCAGAATTTATATAGCTTTTCGCTTGTTTTCGAGAACACTCGGTAAGAATCGGTAAGAATGGGCCAAATCGGTAAGAATTCGTTCCAGAATGATCTCCATCCGTCTACGGCATATCTCCAATTAAGGTCTCATTCCGAATGAGTAAATAGGACTTATTTTCAATTAACAACGAAAACAAAATTTCAAACCAGCTGAATGGCAAGTGCGCAAATTAAATGCTACTAGAAATACTGTACAATATTTATGATTATTAACACGATTGAAATGCCTTGCTGAATATGTATATATATATACCTGTATATTACAAAGGTACATATGTATGTATATATATATATATATACTGTTATGTTTCACGGGTTCGTGGATTTGGAGTAATTGACGATAACACTTGATGGAGAATCGAAACAAAATTAATTCGCCAATATTACACAGGACAGTTCAAAAAACACGTTTACAGTCGTCTAAAAACTACGATAAACAAGCTGAAACAATCAGCAATACAGCCCTCAGGCTACAACGGGGACGACAGCTTTAGGGCAAAGCACTAATGTGCAGCTCCCGACTCGGTTCGGTCGCTCTGAAACTAATCTTTGAACTTATACCACTACTGAACTCAAGACACTCCGCGTACAGGCAGTATTTACTTTTTGGCCTCACAAGGATTTCCAGAATATTATGGACCAAATTGGTAAGAATTCGTTCCAGAATGATCTTCATCCGTCTATGGTATATCGCCAAATGGGTAATTTCGCACCAAATATGACAACCCTGTCTCCCATTGCCATTTTATGGCAACCCTGAACCAGCCTTGCAGGGAAGCTATCTTACTGCGGCTGGCATTTCGTAGCAATATGTTCTCACTCTGCTCGTATCTGTCCTTTCTTGTGTTTTGCGTCGTTAGTAACTCCCCCCCCAGGAAGGTGTTTCCGACTATGCATTTCTATGTGCTATTCTATCGTCTGTTTGTACTCTACCTCTCATGAAAGTTTTTATAGGATTTGTTGAAACACCCTGTAGAATTACTAATTAGTGGAATAGTTAAGAGAGTTACAGTTTTAGAGGAATGTGAGTAGTAAAGCAGCCTGAGATCAGTATTATATCCAAACATGATGTATGTAAACTGTTCTTCGGAATCGAGGGGTTTATAAGCAGAGAGATTGCTTGCCGTAGCTTAAGGTAACAAATTTAAAATTAGCAATTTTGTAAAACGTCATCGTGACTTTTACAAAGGAATAATTTGTGATCATACTATTGAATATAATTTTTTCGGTTAAGAGATTTTATCCGGCTAAACAATTTTAATTAAGTCTGAAACTTGCTGTCTAATTTCTAATGATTGCCTAAAAAAAAAAAGCTGATGTGTGCACCACATGACTTAATTGTAAGGAATGTTAAATTATACGCGTTTTTCCTGCATTTCATTTAAACTTATTTCCTCGAATTTCATTACAAGTATATTTCTCATCGAATTAGTTCAGTTCTTATTTCGCAGGAGGCAAAAATACATAAAAACTCAAAATAGTTTCATTAAAAATTGAAAGATATAGAAAAAATAAAGCACCAAATACAGTTAAAACATTAAAAAAAAACTTTACGATTAAAATTACAGTTTCTACACAAAAGAATTTCGACCAACGGGCAAGAGGGCAGATTTTTCGGTGCCCAAAAATAAAAGTTTCTTTTTGGTCCACTCGGCAAAAAGACACTGAAGATGCTGAAACATCTAATTCACTACTCTGCTAATTTTCAATTGTAAACAAATATGGCTGCTATGGTTAAATAAATTAGGCTCAGCCGCACTTAAATAACTCATTTTTCTTTGCACCTAAGTCAACACCCATAACTGTATCCTGGCAAAGGAGAACCCACGTACCCATACTAAAGAGCCCTACATTCACTGCATTTAACTGTTTGGCGTGGCTTCACTACGTCCAGTACTGTGGGCTGTTTTCTCTTTGAAGAGCGCTGTGCAAAAGCTGTCTAGGGTTTCTCGCCCTTTGTCTATGATAAAACACTGAGGACCCTGGAGAAGTATGTAGGGACTTATCGCTGATTTCAGAACAAGTAAACTTCTAGGAGAGGACAAACTTCTATGGGAGGTAGGGCACATAATAAGGATTTAGAATTCCATAAAAACCTATACACGGAGATGTCAGGGGTAAGTGGTAGCAGAGGTAGAAGATGGGAAAAGAAACAAGAGTGATTAATTCGAAACATTTATTGGACAGGAATGCAAATGGTATACGACAACTTGAGTGTTACAACAGTAGCTCGAAGTTTGCACCATAAGACGCCAAACATGCCTGACATCGACGGCCCATTTGAATGCCGCGAAATATTTTATCTTTATGGAGCAGGTGTTTTTCGATTTGCTTGACGATGTTCCACCAAATGTGAGGTGCAACGTGTGATTACAACATGATGGGGGCCCCTGCTCATTTTGCAGCGGATGTTCGTAACCATTTGAACAGATCATTCCCGCATCGATGGATTGGGCATGGTGGACCGGTTCCCTGGCTCCCGCGCTCACCGGATTTATTGAGCCTTGATTTCTTTCTGTGGGAAGCCATCAGAAGTGTCGTGTCTGAAATGGATCTCGTAGCAAGACTAGCCTGCGCAGCTGCTACAATCAAAGAAACTCCCGGTGTGTTTAAACAGGTCCGACAATAAATGATCCGTGGGTGTCAGACATGTTTGGCATCTGATGGGGCAAACTTCGGGCATCTGTTGTATCGTTAAAGCTGTCGTACACCATTTTGTATTCATGTCCAATAAATGTTTCAAATTAATTACTCTTGTTTCTTTTCCCATCATCTAACTCTTCTACCACTTACCCCTGACATTTCCGGGCATGGTTTTCTATGCAATTCTTAATCCTTATTATAAACCCTACCTCCCTTAGAAGATTGTCGCAACATTTACAATACACCCTATATATATATATACACACACACACGTTTAATGCGGATGAAGTAAAAGTGGTAGAATTACGTTGTTCTTTTATTGCAGCTAAGGTTTTCCTGTGTTTATCGTATCTGCATACAATAGTTATAGAATTATGAGCAATTTAAAAGTTTCAGTGCTGCTAGGCCTTACGAGGCCGCCATATGTTTACATTTGAAATTCTTAGCTGAATAGTGAATTCAGTTAGTTGGTGCTCCAGTGACATTTTGCACAGTGAGACCAAAAGTTAACTATAAGTTTGTCGTTGGCCGAATATCTTGTTTCGGCCAACGACTAATTTTAATTGGAAATTTTTTAATGTTTTAACTGTATTTTGTGCTTTGTGTTTTTCTATACTTTTAATGAAATTATGTTTGTAATTTTTAATGAAGATGTTTTGAGTTTTTATGCATTTTTAATTTGCCTCGGTACCAGAACTGAATTGACTGAATGTGAAATTTATGTGTATTGAAATTCGAAGAAATACTTTTAAATGAAATGCAAAAAAAAAAAATGTTTATAATTTAATAGGCCGGCCGTGCAAGAAGTCATGTGCTGTCCACATCAAATGTTTTCCTTCAATATCAGTCGCCAACATAAGGTAAATCCGTATCTTTAACCCTTTGAAGGCCAAAATGGAGACGGCCTTCATTCAAAAAACCACAACCGCCCGAAACGCCCGAGAGTCGATGTTGTTTTCTTCCTCCTTTTAAGGTATGGAATAGCAGGGACAGTTTGCCCAAATGCATTGTGTCAGTTTATTGAAGACAGCTTGTTCTATAAGGCTAATGGAAGATCCTTTGTTAGGAAGTAGAAAGGATGTCATTTGAAATCTTCACACCTGTTTGTACGTTAATGGTCGGAGAGAGGAAGAACGGACGGAACGGGTAATGGAGGGAGACGGGAGTTTCGGTATTTTAAGCATACAGCTCGGTGAAGGCTTCGATTTTCGAAGGTTGAAGTCTCTGGAACTAAAAGCACCGTTTTTGCAACAAATACGTAATTAAAATATAATCGCTGGCTGCATAAAAATTGTCTTTGTAGGAGCAGGCATGCGGGCCGAGAATTTGAGTCCACTGCCTTAGAATATAAGGCATAGCTGCATGAAAAAGTTTACAAACTTTGTTACATATAGTAATATACTTTATCTTTGCTTTTCTAAACCTATTAAAAGAATTTTTGTCATGTAAAAATGTGCATTTTGGTATCGCATTTGTCACGTTCGCATAGATTTAAATCAGTAAACTGAATTTTTTTTTATATTGCAGTTTTTTATGCATGGTAGTGATATGACATCTCTGCATAAACATATTCCCCGGGATACTCTACCCCAAGACTGTGGAGGAACAGGAGAGCATGCCAACGAAGATGAATTTCGAACACTCATTCTCAATCACCAATCTTACATACAGAAACTGAATCAGTACGGCTTTAAAATCAACTCAGTACATACATAAAATCTCTATTGTGATGTGCATTGTATAATATGCATGTCTATTCAGTGATAATGTGACACTGATTATTAACGTATTGGTATGCTTTTCTAGCCTTCTAAAAATAATAATTTTTGTGGTTAAATTTGATGTATAAATTATGGAATATGTAAAATATTTAATAAATATGTGAAATATTTAATAAATGAGATACTAAATTATTCAGAACGTAGTTGTGCATTTATTTCAAGGATGTTTTGGATACGTAAGCATCAACAAATATGTTTAACAGACAAAGAAGCAATATCTGATGATTGATTAATTTTCTTGGCTTCAGGATTGTTCCTGTGGAGTACACATTCTCACTGCCAAACACACGACCTTCTTCGATCCTGATTATGCTTCTCGGCATTTGCGAGCGCAAGATGGAAAGAAGGATAATTTTTACTTTCACATTTTTATTACCTAATTAAAAATAAGAAATTTAAACAAAATGGAAATAATTTTCACTATAAGAACAAAAGTTTAACAAAAGTGAAGAAAATAATCTCGTATGTTACTCGTAAAAAAGTTACTAAGTTACTTTTTTATAGATAACAGTACGCAGTTACTTATCTTCCTTTTTCTAATCTTTTTCAGAATATACTTTTCATGAAAAATTACCACTGAACCTTTATAAAAAAAATAATTTAATGGCCTTTGTTAGTTAACTATGTCAGTCTAAGACTCTATTATGTGATATAAATTGCATTAATTTTCTATGCTTAAGTTTCCAGTTTTCATTTTGCATTTTCAGCAAATATTTATTAATTAATCAAAAAATATGAAAGTAAAAATTATCCTTTTTTCCATCTTGCGCTCAGAAATCATTATGCGAGCATCCTTTCACAATTATTAAAGCCTGCAAAACGCATGTCTGCGTATTATCGTCATGCGTTCGCTTGAAGATACTTTATTTTTTTACCACGATATTTTCGACGGCGATGTTTTTAAATTGCAAATTTTTTTAACTGCTTTATTTTCGACGACGGTATTTTGTACCACAATGTTTTTAGAACTGCGATGTTTTCTCTTTGCTTTATTTCCTACCACGATGTTTCGCGCCACGACGTTTTCGCCTTGCGTAGTTTTTTCTCCGCGATGTTTTCGGCCACCGCAGTTTGGCCATGTCTGGTATATACCATGAAGAGTGCAACGACGTTCCGAGACGTTGATTTGAGGATTTAAATGAACAGTTACCGAAATGAATAAAGATGCCGGCACTTTTATTCAAGTTAGGAATTGTTCTCTCAAACATGAGGAGTTCATGGCACCTGTATAAAGTTAGCAATTGTACGCTCAAACATGAGGAGTTCATGGCACCTATATAAAGTTAGCAAGTGTTCGGTCAAACTTGAAGAGTTCATGGCACCTACATAAAGTTAGCAATTGTTCGCTCAAACATGAGGAGTTCATGGCACTTATATAAAGTTAAATTTTTCATCACGAAAATTGCAACTATCAGCAAAGCACCGGGACACCGATATCAACATCTAAGAAGTCATCGAATTTAATAAAATTGCTGGCACCCAAAGGAAGTACAGTTTATCTGTAACTGCTCTTCCTGAAATGGGGTCAAGATATGTAATTTATTTTTCCCATTTCTGTATAAGAATGGCTGCAAAATGTTTTAGTATTTTGCCATTATTTAGCTCATTGTTTTCCTGTAAATCTCGTTATAACGTTGACTGAGCATCCGTTTCCCAGCAAGTGTAGAAAGCTTGCGGAGAAGTCATAATGACTCAAGCGTCTTAAGTGTATGAAGTAACGGCTCTGTAAACAGCATCCTCACTGGCAAATTAGGGAAGTTTGACTTATCTCTTTAACTATGTCAATTTATAATGGCACCCGAACTTAAAATTCGGCACTTCGTGTATTCGGTCGATTTGTGTCTCGATTTCCTCGCAGTCACCGTTTAACTGTGGAGGTAGTATGTAAGGAATTAATACATTCCCCCATGAGCGCTCTGGGTTGTAGAAGTGTAAAGAGTTTATCACATCTAGTGACGGTTCCTGCTAGACGAGACTTTTTTGAGAAACGAGATTGTTGTAGCACAGGTTTAAACTGGAGGATTTCTAGAAAGAACAGCTCCACTGGAAGCGGAGTCCCGCCTAGCTACGGAAACAATGTACCGGCTACATGGGATTTTTGTAGCCTCGCCAAAAATGTTTCCTGCGCAGCTCTGTCCAGGGTAAAGATCAAGCAATCAGACAAAAGTTCTGCTTCTGAATTATCACGTGATCCCAATCTGAGTGATGATCGATTACTGTTTGGCGTTCAACTTTTTGTAGTAAGTGAAAATGGTAACCTAGCTACCTAAGTTTCGTGGAAATGTGCGGGTTTTGAGATTGTCCCTTTTGACGTCCAGTCCCTCGTAGCGGAAAATATGTCATTGGGACTTAAGTGACTATAGAAGTGTAAGCGTCTGTCTGGCAGTCAGCAGATCCGCGACCCAAATTTCGATACGTAGTAGATTTTTCATTTTTAGATTTTACTTTTACGTCTGCAATAATTAAGAAACGAACTCATAATCAAGCTGGTAATTCCACACATGTCTATGCATTATCAAATTTTACGGTACGCTACGCTGCGATGCATTTACCTTTCACGTGAATTGCAGTTAGTTGATTAAGGCAAGACCTCGAGCGCTATCTGTCTAAAGGGAGGGATGCCTTCGTGGAGGACTTTCTAAGGTAAACTGGCTCGCATACACGTTACACATGGGAGAAAACCCATATAGTTTTTCTGTTTTAGTAGTTTACTGTAACCTAACTTGCTCAGTTATATGACCGCCCTTCAGTTCCGTCAATGTCGAATAAACGGAAATCTTTGTAATTAAACTGATGGAATTAAATTTGAAAACACGTTAATAGCATATTCAATTTTAAACGGTTTCAAAAGAAGAACGAGTGACCAGCATAATTAAAACTTCGGGTAACTGGAATCTGGATAATTTAAGTTCTACTGCAATTATTAATAAATTACACGTATGCATAATGAATAAATTTTATTACTGATAACTTCGAAATGCCTGACTAATGATATTAAATGACTACAAGAATTTTAATTAAAATTAAATAGAATCTGAGTGCCGCTTGAAAACTTTTGCCTCACTATTTTTGCTTAAAGTAAGCATTAATCTTTTAATATCCAGTTACGGATGAAAATGGCCCTTCAGCGAAACTTCTTGATCTAAAATAATGATAAATTTACATGCTTTCTTATACTGGTCTCAGTATGGTTAACAAAAACATGATGTGCTTAATTTTTAGTATTTTTAAATGTATTGACTTGCGATGTACTTCTAGACGAATTTGTTACTAACAATAAAATATGTCTACCCACGTTAAGTTAATCTCAGCAATACTTCTGCTTATGGATAAAAAAATCTGAATCTATTTGCAAAACAAGGCCATCAGTTTCATCGAGATGCGTTGATTTATTTCATATTTTGGTGAGATTTTGTTGCAGCCGTTTCCAACTGGAGATTTAAGATTGGTGAGCAAACTGTATATAAAATTCATTAAACATTATAATAACACTACTCTACCAAGAACTTGAAAACTTTATTATCTACCTCAAAACTTGAAATTCTTTTATGCACTATTTCTCAGGATAAATAGTTGAAAACTGAAGAAAAATGTATATTAGAGCATCATAAATACTTCCTTTATTCAGTGATGCACAATTATTTTATAAGAATTCACGTATCAAGAATAAAACGATCCAAAAATATATATGCTGATTTCAGCCGCTGCGCAGATGATGCCAAAATCGTGGCCAATCGGCACAATGTAAAGTACCGTTTAATTTTCTAACCCTTTATTTTAAATTAAAGTTTCCTTCCTTTCACTTCTCATTGTATTTTCCCAGAATGCAAATTCCCAGCCTACGCGATATTCAAATTAGGTAGAAGGAAGGAAGTACTGTGAAAATGAGGGGACACGAAAATGAGGAGACTAAAATATTTTTTCGTGTTAAAAGAATTCCGTGTTAAAGGATATTAAAAAAGAAACATATTGTTGCGTGCGTACGGGTTCGTTACGAAATGAATGCACAAGTCCGATGAAAAATGAACAAAAATTTATTATTATCACAACAAATATGCTTAAATTTCCTCAAATTATCGCGCAGTATTACAATATATATCTTTTAACTACTCAAACGTTCAATAGAAATTAATTCAAAAAAGCTAAAGAAAGCTAATCCGCGAATTCGCTACAATCAACAAGAGCAGTTTTCTAAACAAACTCTTAAATCAACAACAAGCTAACTAAAATAACTGACTGACTGAATTGAGAGGTTTTCCTCCTTTTATAAGATTTTTAAATCGCGCGCGAGAACTTTCTGGAACTTTCTCGAAATCAGAAAGAGATATTTATTAAATGTTAAATGCACGCGCTCTTGTATTTTTAATTCTCCGGCTTAGCTTTAATATTCGTCACGCGCTGCACTGCGCAGGAAATAAAACCATTTAATTTACAATTCAACTAACATTAGCTATTTAAATACCAAATCCGTAACAATATATTGAACAAAATTAAGGATATTGCAAAATTTTCAAGTTTTTTGAAAAACAAAACGGTACTTTTCCATTTTGCCGGCGCAAGCGATAAAGTCCAATAATGGTACAACCGATGCCAAACGGAATATTCTCGCTGGTAACCTTTTACGCCTCATTTTCAAAACAAGTCGCAGCTTTTTCTTATCAGATTGATTGTTTCTTTCAATACTGGCATATAATTACATAGAATTTTTATCAGATAGTTCAGTGTTATGTCTAAGGCCATTTTCGGTAATTAAGTCGATTAGGATGCAATCACAGCGCTTACCCGAAGCCGAAAATATAGAAAAGGTAAAGTCAAGGGTTAAATTCATCAATTCTAATGAGAATGCATTAGCGAAGTAAAGCACTGCAGTTTTACAAAATTTCTGAGTAAGCTATTCGTGCGAATTAAAATATTTCTTGCATTTAAACTTGTGTTCCAAATTAAGATTTAACTTGAAATTAATGTAGATAATTACTGAGAGCATTAGATTTTTGTAGAATAGTTTGCGTGAGATGAGATCGCTTGGGGTCACGTGACATGAACCGGCGAATCAGGA